TCCAATGATCACTTTTGTGACTATGCAACTGGGCTCATATTACTAGCTGCAACATCACAAAAATGACAGTGGCAACCGCTAGTTAGCCGGTAAAAAAAAAAAGGAAAAAAGGAAGAAAAAAAAAAATAAGAAAAAAGTAAAAAAAAAGAGAGAGGAGGAGGAGGGAGAAGCTTTTTTTTTTTTGGAAAGCCAGGCGTCAGGTCAGTGAGTCCAGTGTGAGTAAATTACATGCCTGCGCAAGCACAAAAGGGACAGTATCCGCGACCCGGGGAGGTTTAGAAAGGAAAAAATAAAGAAGAGACAGAGAGAGAGAGAGAGAGAGAGAGAGAGAGAGAGTAAAGAGCAGGTTGTGTTTGTGAAGGTACCATAACCGGCGCAATAAAAGTGAAAAATATCTCCCCGGCTCGCCTCTTTGTGCTCTGACCCCGGCCACAGTGAATCAAACAAAAGCCTCACACCTAATAGGTGTAAAGTTTTATTAACTCATTGACTGCCATTGAGTTTTTTGAGCATTTTGACTGGTTTTTCAAGAGCCACAGAATAGTTTGTGCTATGACTATGTAAACACCGAACACACCAAAAGAAAGAGTAGACTCTCTTCTTTCATCAGGAAAAAATGTTGTTTCTACCTTATTCCGTTCTTCCTCGACTTGCATCTCACAAGTACATACTCTGTCTAGAAGCCTGATATTTATGGACAAGCTTTAGCAGATCGTCCCCCACATGGCAGTCTATAGACATCAATTCAAATACAACCGTTGACTGCCAAAGACGTCTATAGACGTCTTTTATGTTTTTCAACGAGAGTGGCTTGGGGGACGATCTGCTAAAGCTTGTCCGTAAATATCAGGCTTCTAGACAGAGTATGTAGTAACAAATTGACCCTCTAGGGGGCAGTGCCACTTTTGATGGGAGATGAGCATAGACTGTAGGCAAATAAGAAAAAGGGAACGGTTCTATGAGAGAACATGTCGCCGGTGAGACGCAAGTCGAGGAAGAACGGAATAAGGTAGAAACAAATATTTTTTTCCTGATGAAAGAAGAGAGTCTACTCTTTCTTTTGGTGTGTTCGGTGTTTACATAGTCATAGCACAAACTAATCAGTCAAAATGCTCAAAAAACTCTGGCAGTATGGGACTCTGTTCTGAAAATGGCTGCCAGTCAATGAGTTAAATACATTTCTATTTCTTACTTCCTCAGATGGACTAAGACTTTTGCTTCAAAATAAAATTCCCACAACACTTTTTTTCTTCTTTTTTTTTTAAACTTCTGGTGCTTATTCTCCTGCTTCTCCTGGTTAATTTGCAATAACCAGAGTTAAAAAAAAAAGGCCGATGGAAGGTAGTCTGGTTCCTGAGCAAAAAAAGAAGAAGAGGCGGGAATCTATCGGGTACGTCCACATGCACGGATAATCCAACGCGCTCCCATGAACTCTCCTCTCAGATCCGGGATGAAATCAGCCGCCCAGAATCAAATTATTGACCAAAGCGTGCGTGGATCTGCGGTCTGAGGTGGAGATGTGCTCCCTTTGAGTTTGTTTTTATCGAGTTTCCAGGTTGTAAAAGCTCAATACGTACAAGCCCAGCTGTTGCATCGTGTAGCAAAACGGCTTTTCATTACGTTTCCCGTGTGTTCACGCTGCTGTTTACACCTCTAACTGTCTCCTATGGATGTGTTAGGCTGACTGTGAGGAGTTTATTCAGCAGGGTTTCATTGCGCTTCGCTTTCATTTCGCCTGTGTTCTGAAATCCTGGAGTTATTCGATAATCAGCTTTACTTCGACCGTCAATGTACGAAGAAACTTCAAGTAGGTAAAAGTCAGAAAAGACTGAAAATGATATTCTTAGTGGTATAGATACATTAAAACAACCACATCCCGCTTGTTTTTCGCTTTTAAAAAGCTTATTATGGGAAATAATGATTATAATAATGATTAGCAGGAATTATTTCGTCACCAGTTTAGTTCTAAACTGAAGAATGTTGTTTATGTTCATAGAAAGTAAAGAAAAAGATCATTAAAAGTTCATGAGTTTCCCTCCATGCTATCGAAATGAAACTAATTATCAAGGTGCAGCTTTTAGAAGTTCCTTTTTAAACAACATTAAAGAAAGCCAAAGTAAGTTCCTGAGAGATGCTGACAGGTCTTACCGACAAACTTGTTTGTCTAAAAAAGCATTTATACTATTTATACTCAGTATTTAGCAGCTTTCCAACCGGTGTCTGGCTTCAGTACGTAATAAATAAAAGAAAAGAAGAAGAAAAAGAAAAAGCAGCCTTCCTTAAAGAGGCGGTTTCATATTCTTGAGCCAACAAGGAGGAGATTGTGTCACGTCTGGGGGACTTTTTGTTTTTTTGTCCTGTCTCCATGTTGTCTCGTCACATCCTGTTTTATTTTGAAAGGTTCATCCCCTGTGTGTCACATGTCTGATTGTCTTCCTGATCCCCTATTGTGTTCCCCTGGGGTTCCCTTCCCTCACAAGTTTAACTCATTGACTGCCAGCCATTTTCAGAACAGAGTCCCATACTGCCAGAGTTTTTTGAGCAGTTTGACTGATTTTTCAAGAGCCACAGAATAGTTTGTGCTATGACTATGTAAACAACAAACACACCAAAAGAAAGAGTAGACTCTCTTCTTTCATCAGGAAAAATTTTTTGTTTCTACCTTATTCCGTTCTTCCTGGACTTGCGTCTCACCGGCGACATGTTCTCTCATAGAACCGTTCCCTTTTTCTTATTTGCCTACAGTCTATGCTCATCTCCCATCAAAAGTGGCACTGCCCCCTAGAGGGTCAATTTGTTACTACATACTCTGTCTAGAAGCCTGATATTTACGGACAAGCTTTAGCAGATCGTCCCCCAGCCACTCTCGTTGAAAAACATAAAAGACGTCTATAGACGTCTTTGGCAGTCAGCGGTTGGATTTGAATTGACGTCTATAGACGTCTTTGGCAGCGAATGAGTTAATGTGCACTGTCCTGATTAAATACATAAATAAATGTCCCTGAGAGGCCCCCCTACCTGCGGAAGTCCAGCAGTGTCCGGCTGGTCTCGGGGACGTTCTGGTTGAGCCAGGTCAGGAAGTGGAACTGGGTCACGGTGCGCGTCTCGTTAGTCTGCATGTTCTTCAGGTAGAAGCTCCGGACCAGGAAGTCGTCGCACCAGATGTGCTCGGACACGAGGTTCACCTGCGATTAATTAATTTTTAGATTCTGTTAAAGTTCATGTTTATCCTGTGTTTTTAGCTGCACGCCATCAAACAAAATTCACAACGCTTTGTTACTACACTATACCAGTGTTTTTCAACCACTCTGCCTCGGTACACTAGTGTGCTGTGAGTGATGGTCAGGTGTGCCGTAGAAAATCATCCTATTTCACCTAATTGGTCTAAAAAGATTTTTTGATACGGAATTAATTATCTGCAAACAATGTGCCATTTTTGAGTGTCTGTGCTGTGCTAGTGACTGGTGGAGTAATCATGTAATAATTCCTTATGACTAGATTTTGTATTTAATTTTGCCTATTGAAGTGGACATGTTAAGAGCAATTTGAAAGAAGAAATATAAAATATGATAAAAATACATTTTTGTGTTTATTTGATTCCTATTCAAGACACTTAAGATAAGATAAGAATAACTATAGTGTTACTATAGGCGGGCACAGATTTGTTTGACATTTTTGGTTGGTGGTGTGCCTCGTGATTTTTTCAATGAAAAAATGTACCTGGCTCAAAAAAGGTTGAAAAACACTGCACTATACGATCACGTGAACAGGAAGCTGGCATGTTCACGTTAGAGTTAAATGGCCAATTACAGTTTGGTGCTGCGAAGACCAGCTTAGCCCAAGAAGATAAATGTACCTGAGTGACGTATATTCGGTGCTCTTTGGTGGAATCGCGTCTTTGAGACAACATTACCCAGAGAGTCCAGCGCTGTGATATCCTACTTGTGGCCGGAATAAATTCCATTCATTGCTAAAGATCTCTTCAGTTCATTTTCCAAGTCTCCATAAGGACCGGGAGGAATTAAGGCAAAAACTTTAACACTCACAACCGGTTCTGAGGCCGCTTTCGGACTCCCGCGCTCAGAATAACGAGGCTAAAAAAGGTGGAACCGCGGGAGCTGGGAAAAGGGAGATGGAGACTAACGCCTAGGGCTCTCGAGCAATCATCAGCACATATGTGAGGATGAATACGTCCAATCAAGGCTAGCTAAGCTAATCAGACCCTGAAACGTGGCGCCGGTACTTCAAAATCACACATAATAAGTTCTCCAACTTTTACTTCTTTACAGAACTTTGCAGACATATGGTTGTTGGAATCACTGTACATAGGTTATCATATAAAAGGGAGGACGCCTGTACTCCGTTTTCTTTTCGTATCTATCATTCTAAACCTCTTGTTATCAGAACATTGAATAACAAATGTGCTTGTGTAAGCAGATTTGATTAACCAGATGCGGCATCTACAGCAAAACAGCAGCTGAGAGCAGAAGCGTGAGAAGGCCAAGTTCCTCTGTTCTCACCCGTTTAAGCGCCTGACCGTACTATGATAAGGAACTTGGATATAATGTTGGATATAATGTAATATTACGCTACACCTGTGTGCAGCCTGTGTGCTCTACTCTCTTAAAGGCTGGAGATTGTAGAGTCTGGTCAGAGTATGGTGGAGATTGTAGAGTCTGGTCAGAGTATGGTGGAGATAGTACAGTCTGGTCAGAGTATGGTGGAGACTGTAGAGTCTGGTCAGAGTATGGTGGAGATTGTAGAGTATGGTGGAGATTGTAGAGTCTGGTCAGAGTATGGTGGAGATTAGGGATGGGAATCTTCACCACCAAGGCGATACGATACACACCTCGATACACAGCCAACGATTCGATACATTCACGATTCATGGAATTTCTAGTGATAAGATTCGATACGATTCTCCAACCTCCTGCGATCCGGTGCGATACAGAACGATCTAAATTTAAAATGCTGCGATACAGTGCGATACGATACGATACAATACGATGCGATGCAATGCAGAAGAAAAGTACACCATGGACTACATAGTTCAAGTTATGGCACGCAAGCTAACTGTGTCTTTTATTTTGAAACAAAGGAAGTGCAACTTAGAGAGTGATTGTCTCTCTGAATGGAAACAGGGATGGAAAGAAACGCAACTAAAACTGAAAGACACGTTTCTAAAAAGTTATAATAATAGAAGATAATAATCGGTTTGTATCGATGCAGGTAGTTTTATACGATGCATCTCGAGTTTATGTGCGGTTTTTACCGATGCAGACGTTTGCAAATCGATGCAACCGTATCGCACAGGTCGTTCCGATGTTCCGATACGCATCGGTGAATCTTGCCATGCCTAGTGGAGGTTGTAGAGTATGGTGGAGATTGTAGAGTCTGGTCAGAGTATGGTGGAGATTGTAGAGTCTGGTCAGAGTATGGTGGAGACTGTAAAGTCTGGTCAGAGTATGGTGGAGATTGTAAAGGCTCCGCTGCTCTCCTTTCGAGTAAAAAGACTAACGGTCTCTGTGTCTGTTTTCTCCTACACTGTGTTTTTAATAATGTTTTGGATTTAACCCTGACAATGGTCCTGTGCGTAAAGCATCCGGTGGGCCGGCTTTTACCTCGTAGATGTGGTACAGGTTGGATCCCTCGTCAGGCCAGTAGTGGTAGCACTGCTTCACCCCGCTCTCCACCAGAGGCGTGAGCATGACCACCACCACGCAGCCGTTCTCCCAAACCATCTGCAAACAGAAAGCACAGACGGGTAAATCCCTGTCCCTTAAAGGCCTCACCCAAACAGCCACATTTCAACGATCCACATGGTCTAGGCCAGTGTTTCCCAACTGTAATTGCTGTTTATACTGTTTTATACATTTTATACATTGCCTCCTCTGTTCATTGAACTCTACTGGCTACCATTAGCCGCCCGCTAATTCAAGTCCCTAATGTTAGCCTAAAAAGAGCTTAAGGCTACAGCTCTCATCTGTTAAAGGTCATAGCTTGGTCAGTCCAGTTGTCCAAGGACAACCCACCAAACCTACAAGAATGGGGTCTTTGTTTATCTTCGAGAAACTAAGGTTAGGGTTCAGCTCTTCAAAGAGTATTTCCTGCCCTAACTCTTACCCCCCCCCCTCCATCTCCTCTACTACTCTACTACTCTTTCTGTACTTCCCTTTATCTATACATTATCCAGAACCTCTCCTCTAACACTCTTTGTGCTTTTCCCTCTATCTCTACAGTAACTGTCACCGCTATGGCCTCTTACAGAATCTAACTGGCGTTTTTTCCCTGTTATAGCTTATTAGCTTGATGCTAACTGTAATGTTGTATCTTCTTTGGGCAAAAGCTTCTGTTGATCGACAACCACGACACAATAGCCGTCCCACTTATTTTTAAAAATCAGAGATGGGGGAAAACCTGGAAAACATGCCAGGAAATATGCCTTGAGGAGCCTGGTTGGGGAATCTTGATTTCTGCTACACAATGCTTCATTTCATTTCATTTAATTTATTTTGAAACATGACATGGTTTAACAATGTTTACATAGAATGCTTCATAAACATGCATCACGTTTCAAAAAGGAGCAGGATGAAGCATAAGCTTATTAAGCCCTATGCTTCACCGGAAATCTCCAGTGTGTTTGACACGACAGGGACTTTTCTTTAAGAGAAAGATTCGTGTTCTTAAGGTGGTGGAGATTTTGATTTGGGACCAGATCTCATTTGCAGCTGTCAGCCGCCCGCCCACTCGCCGGGATATTAGATCCTAATTAGCTCACGTTTTCTGGCGGGTGTCATTTCGGTGGGGCAGACGTGTCTGCTTTTGGGGGAGGCGAACGTCTTCGTTTGACATCAGCACTTTGAAACGCGCTCGCCGTTAAAAAATTTGGGGGGTGAGGGTGTCACGAAGGTGGATCTTAGGGAGGACTCAGTCGCGGAGATTGGTGAAAAGGGTTTATTTGAACAAAACCACACTCAAAAGGAGTGGATGGCAGACATGAGGAAACTATGGACAAAGTAGCAAAGCAAGATTAACAAAACTGTGGCAAAGTATCAAAGTAAGAGTAAACAAGGCTATGGCAAAAGCAATAAAGTTAACAAGACTGTGGGCAAAGTCTCAAAGCAAGACTATGGCAAAAGGTACAAAAAGAAAAGATTAACAAAACTGTGGCAAGGCTGTGAGAAAAACATGGCTATGGCAATAAAGTAAATAAGACTATGGCATGGCTGTGACAAAAATCAAAACCTTACGTGGTGAGGGGTGAAGAGAACAAAGAGATGAAAACACACTGGCATAGGACATGGGAAACAAGGACTATTTAAACACATGGGGGAGGGGAACCCCAGGCGAATGTCTTCGTTTGACATCAGCACTTTGAAACGCGCTCGCAGTTAAAAATTTGGGGGGTGAGGGTGTCACGAAGGTGGATCTTAGGGAGGACTCAGTCACGGAGATTGGTGAAAAGGGTTTATTTGAACAAAAACACACTCAAAAGGAGTGGATGGCAGACATGGTTCAAAAACAAGGCTGTGAGGCAACTATGGACAAAGTAGCAAAGCAAGATCAACAAAACTGTGGCAAAGTATCAAAGTAAGAGTAAACAAGGCTATGGCAAAAGGTACGAAAAGAAAAGATTAACTCATTGACTGGCAGCCATTTTCAGAACAGAGAGTCCCATACTGCCAGAGTTTTTTGAGCATTTTGACTGATTTTTCAAGAGCCACAGAATAGTTTGTGCTATGACTATGTAAACACCGAACACACCAAAAGAAAGAGTAGACTCTGTTCTTTCATCAGGAAAAAAAATGTGTTTCTACCTTATTCCGTTCTTCCTCGACTTGCGTCTCACCGGCGCCATGTTCTCTCATAGCGAACCGTTACCTTTTTCTTATTTGCCTACAGTCTATGCTCATCTCCCATCAAAAGTGGCACTGCCCCCTAGAGGGTCAATTTGTTACTACATACTCTGTCTAGAAGGCTGATATTTACGGACAAGCTTTAACAGATCGTCCCCCAGCCACTCTCGTTAAAAACATAAAAGACGTCTATATACGTCTTTGGCAACCAATGAGTTAACAAGACTGTGGCAAGGCTGTGACAAAAACATGGCTATGGCAATAAAGTAAATAAGACTATGGCATGGCTGTGACAAAAATCAAAACCTTACGTGACTAGGGGAGACGAAAGCAGAAAGACAAAAACGCACTGGCACAGGACATGGGAAACGAGGACTATTTAAACAGATGAGGGAGGGGAACCCCAGGTGTACACAATAGGTCAGTGTTTTTCAACCTTTTTTGACCTAAGATACATTTTTTCATTGAAAAAATCACGAGGCACACCACCAACCAAAAATGTTAAACAAATCTGTAGCCGCCTATAGTAACACTATAGTTATTCTTATCTTATCTTAAGTGTCTTGAATAGGAATCAAACAAACACAAAAAATGTATTTTGATCATATCTTATATTTCTTCTTTCAAATTGCTCTTAACATGTCCACTTCAATATACAAAATTATATACAAAATCTAGTCATAAGGAATTATTACATGATTACGCCACCAGTCACTAGAACAGCACAGACACTCAAAAATAGCATATTATTTACAGATAATTAATTCCTTATCAAAAAATCTTTTTAGACCAATTAGGTGAATTATGATGATTTTCTACGGCACACCTGACCATCACTAACACCACACTAGTGTACCGAGGCACAGTGGTTGAAAAACACTGCAATATTTATTTATTTATCTATTTATTTATTTAATCAGGACAATGCACATTAATGAACAATCTCATACAGATTGTAAATGAGCCAGATTATAGCATAGTTGCTAGTTTACTTCTGTCGTCCTGAGGCAGGAAGATCAAACGACACAAAATCACAAAATACAAAATCAGTCCAAACACACGTTCAGACAATGAGGTAATAGGTAATCAAGACATGATGACACACCACACGTGACACGGGGGGGTTATGGGGAATCAGAAGGAAATCAGGTGGTATGAAAAGTAATTGCCGTTGGCATCAGGGCTTTTTTCCGCCCCCGGTTGGGTCGTTGGGAAGCAAGACCCGGGCAGCTCAGAGGATCCATTCCACCCTCTGAGAAGTGAGAGTCAGCAGGTTAATGGAGGCCGTAAAACAACCCCCCTCCCACGTCATCTCCTTAAGTAATCAGCACCTGCTGTTCTCGCCCTCACAGACACTCGCCCGTCGTTAACCGTGGCAGATCTGGAGTTACACCATCATCCCTCTGCAAAACCCCCACCTCTCTCTGGGCTCCACGATGCTTCACTGATTAGTGTCGTACATCTAAAGCTGAGGTGGTGCTAGTCGTTCTTTTTCCCGACGAGTGGCGTTAGATAGTTTCAGCTCTGTCAAAAATGAAGTCCACGTTTAGAGGTGAAAACCACACGGAAAACCTTGTTTTAAAAAAAAAAGGGAGTTCATTTATCTGACAGTGACACTTTTGACTGTTTTAGGCCCGGATGGGGACTTTTTCAAACATAGATCTGGATATAATATGCTCAATTTGGAAAATTTTATTCATTTTAAGAATAGTTGTTTAATTTACAAAGTTCTGAATGGATTAGCCCCACCTCCACTTTCTACCTACAGTCAGAGGGGGTCACTTCTGGAACAGCCTACCAACAAACATCAGGGAATGTCCCACTTATTGCACATTTAAAAAGCACCTTAAACAGTTTCTTAAAAGTTCCCAGTCATGCACTCACTGAACATGTGTCTGTGTGTTTTGACTGATATTGTATTTTGTGATATTGTGTTGTTTTGTCTTCCTGTCTCAGGACAAAATATGTAAATTAGCAACTATGCTATAATCTGGCTCATTTACAATCTGTACAGAAGTATAAGATTGTTCATTAATGTCCACTGTCCTGATTAATTCAATAAATAAATTAAATGTTTGTCTCTTAAACATCCTGAAAGGAACGAGGAGCAGCTGTAGGAGCTGAGGCTACAGGACAGAGAGGTTCAGGAGGTCCTTTTTATCAGAGACTCCTCACATTAATTTGTGTATTTGATCTAACTTATTTGTATTAATTTATATCTTAATTTCCCCCAACCGAGAATGAGCAAAGTATTTCTATTTTCTATTCAGACTTTTCGGTTAAAAGTTGAAAACTTTACATAATAAAGTAGAAGATTAGTGGGTTTTTTGGACGCTTTTTGCCCCTTGGTTGGCTTCATTTCCTGCCTTTGTCTTACTTTGAAATGCTGAGACTTTTCTAGGTCTCCCCTCTACTGACATATCACAGTTTTAAACACATTACAATAGGCCGATGCATGTCCCGTTTAGATTTTCTGGTGTTTAGGACCGTTATCCCTTATGTAGAAGCCATCCATGTTTTCGTTCTATAGTTTCGTAACATAGGAGGATATTTGCTTTATATTTAATTTGACATTTAATGAATCCATTTTTCTCTGTCATCAATGAAAAATTCCCCTCAGGAGAATTTTTCATTTAAAACCCAAACATCTTTTAGGTTTTAAGAAGTCACTGAACCGGTTTCCAAACTGCATCAGGCCTGTTCAGATGATAAATTAGTGTGTTTTTTCCCTACAGAGACGCTTAATTTGTAGGATATCGCTAAATTACATTTTGCAGTATCCATTTATGTAATCGTAGAAGTGGTTCTCAGAATTATTTTTATTCCAGCTTATCAACATTTCAACACAGTTTCTGTTCACTGTAAATTCTTTTTGTCCTCTAAGTAAAAAAAACATCTGAAAAATGCTTCTTCATGCAGCCTTATGAAGCATTTGGGCATTAATTGTAGTTTTCAGGGTGTTTCTTTAAGAGCTGGAGATCTGTGGTTTCTGAGAAAGGGTGTGAGATGTTCTAAAGATTTGCACCATTAGACATTTTTAATTGGTAAAAGTGAAATAAATCTTAGGCACAACTTCTCAATTTAGGTCCAAGATGTTGGTAAAATATGAAAAAGGGAGTCAAATATAGTCTCAAAGGTTTCTTTAACCCTCCTCTTTTCCTTTTCTCCCCTTTCAGTTATTTTCTGTTCAATAACAAGCTTGAAGTAAGAACCATTTGATGTATTATTCATAAGCATAATAATGCCTCCCCTTTAGATTATAAAGCAAAGATGGAGGAAGATGATAAAAGTCGGCAGGAGGGTGGCGAAAAAGAGGAGGAAAAGTGGCGATGAAGAGGAGGAAAAGCTGTGGGAAAGCAGATAAAGTCGTAAAGGCGAACGATAACGAGTCTCCTTCTGATTGAAGGAGGCTGAAGAGGATGAGGAAGGTTAACTGGGAATGAACGACACATCGAACAAACTAAATATAAACGTGTAAAAGCAGAAACTGTGAGATGAACGTTAAGAAAAAGCTTCTGAAATCTATAGAAACACACAGCAAGTTTTCTGCATTAAGATGGGATTTTCTCTCTTCTTCCTCCGGTTAATTCCATGGAGACAGAAGTTGTTTGACAAGGAGACCTTTCCTCCCAACACAAACACACACACACACACACACACACTCACACACACACACACACACACACTGCTCCACTAGACAAACACATATACCCCGACACTGGCCAGAATAACTTATCGATCTCCAGCTACCCCCATTCAAAGCCAATGCAGCTCTTCGGACAGTGTTGTTGTGTGTGTGTGAGTGTGTGTGTGTGAGTGTGCGCGTGTGTGTGTGTTTGTGTGTGTGTGTAGTAAAAGGTGTTATGTGTTTCCCTTAAGTGGCTTTTACGTGAATGTGTGTAAAGAGGTACTCGGAAAGACACAAAACCACACAAAAAACCCACCAAAAAGGTCAGCCCCCAGAAAGCATGGCCGGGTCCCTACAATGTATTAAAGACAAGGATGTGTGTGTGTGTGTGTGTGTGTGTGTGGGTGTGTGCGTCTGTGTGTGTGTGCGTGTGTGTGTGTGTGTGGGTGTGTGTGGGTGTGTGTGTGTGAGTGCGTGTGTGTCTGTTTGTGTATCTGTGTGAGTGTATCTGTGTGTGTCAGAGTGTGTGCGTGTGTGAGTGTATGAGTGTGAGTGTGTGTGTGTCTGTGTGTCAGTGTGTGTGTGTGTGTGTGAGTGTGTGTGTGTGTGTGT